CTACCTACTCCGCAAAAATATTAAAATAAAATAACTAAGCATAAAGTTAGACTATGTTAAGATTAGACCACTTAAAATATAAAACGTTATTAGCCTAGTAAACTATAAGCTTAGGCTACCTAATAGGATGAAAATATACCCGGTTTTCTATATATTGCTACTAGAACCCGTATTACCTAATACTAAGCTAGAAAATAATATTAAGGTTAATAATAATAATAAATATAAGGTCGAGTAAATCCTAGATTCCTAACAACACGGTTAGTAAAAGAAGTACCTAATTAAGTAGAAAGAATACAGTATTTCTAAGAATATATAGGAACCGGTTAAGAGTTTAGTAAATTATTAGGAACTCCTGCAGCAGTTTTACTGCTAGAATCCGGAACAGCCTAGAAAAACGGCGATAGTGCACTGTCCAACCAGGAAGGATCAAAGGAATCCGGAGGCCGAGTATTACTGCTTTATAATTAGAATGCACGGCAACGGAAAAGACGGCTGGCAGTGCCCAGCACATTCTAAGAGAAAGAAGAATACCCGACAGTCCTTAAGGCAGAAGGCAAGCCTTCCTGCTCAACACGCTCTTGTTCTTTCTGCGCAGCCTCTTCCTAATCTTCCTTTTCCATCTCCTCTAGAGTGGAAAAACCCCTGTAAAGTATATCGGAGCAACGCTGCTCCAGGAGCTTGCGCTGCTTGCGCAACCGACAATATTTAGTATAGGCAGCCTCCTCCTCTTATTCTAATTAAGCTATAGCGGCATCTAGTTTATAAACTATAGAATATTAGTAGAGGGCAATAATAAGATAAGGACAACCTACAGGCAGCCTTATTAATACTAAAGATATTATATATACCACCAATTTTCACGCATTTCCTATACTAAGTGTTACCTTCTAACACCTTACAGGCTAGGCCTTTATCGCAACAGCAGGAACAGGAAGGTATTTTAATTCCGAACTTTGCGGAACAATTAGATAGAAGGTTACATTGCAAGAACTTACTAGACTTCGGAACCTTAGGTATAGTAAAGGAAGAAATAGAAAAGCATAATAACGGCCCAGCAGATAGGGCATCGCCAGCTATTTATCCGAGACCCCACCACGGAAATACTTTCGGGCCGAAAGCCTTAGAAGGGGGAGCGAGTGTTATAACCCGCAACACGAACCACCCGAGCGCAGCGGCACTTGCGGAGATAAGCAAGCAGATAAGACTAATTACGCAGAACCAGGTTACGGGACTAAAAGAGTTACGTGTGGGATATATTAGTATCCTGGATTCCCCTACAGACTGCTGGTGGATAGGAATAATATAAGGATAGGAATTACAAGACAAGAGGTCTATATAATAGATTAGAGGAATCTAAGACAAGATTATAGTAATCTAGGGAACACCTAAAGATTAGGGTAATCTAGGAACTATTTAGAGATTAGACTAATCTAGAACGGATTAGAGTAATCTATAGGTTTCTTAGAACGGAGCTTTTATATATAGGGACGCTCCTTTATATAAATAGGAACCTCGTGTTTAACTTAAGACTTTAATACTACCTATTAGAAGTAATAACCCTGTCTTATACCTAAAATTAATCTTGCCTTACCTTTTAAAGACTATTACACCCTAACAACAACTTAACCTATACCCTACCTTAGTGTGTAACACTTAGAAGGTATAGAAGAGACGACCTGTTATACTATACTATTTACTAATAAACTAAGTATTTAAGAAATAAGAAATATAGTTTCCTTAGGCCCTTACCTATTCTAAATAAGCAATAGTAATATTTTAGCATTAACTATATTATTAGTCTCCCCGCCTACACCCGCTAAGGAATTAAATATCGGAATATTACTATAGTCTATAATAGACTTATAAAACACTGCTACTTTATTTCTATAAACAGTTTAAGTTTAAAGGCACTAGTTTAGATTTTTCTACTACTTTTCGCCTTATATAGAATCCTACAATCTATTACTTTAGATAGGGGCAGCAACTTTATTACTAAGTTCTGGAAACGCCTATACTAACGCCTTAGAATATCTTTTAAAATATCTACTACTTTTTACCCTAAAACTAATAGATAAATAGAATACTTTAATTAGGAGCTAGAGAAGTATTTACGTAAATATATTAACTATACTTAAGATAATTAGGTTAACTGGCTACTAATAGCAGAATTCTAAGTAAATAATACTATTAATATATCTACAGGTATAACGCTGTTTTTTGCAGATACTAGCTACTACTCTTAATCTAGCCTAGAACTGGCCGAGGCTGTAGACCTAGATTTAGATAATAGAACAATAAATAAGATTAAAATTACAAATAATATATCTAATAGTATAGAAAAGCTTACTAAATTCCTTTAGGAAAATATTGCTTAGGCCTAAGAATAATAAGCAGAACACGTAAACGCGCACTGCGCTAATACTTCTCTTTTTAAAATAGGAGACCTAGTTTATATTAATACTAGGAACTGGAAAACAGAGCGCCCTACTAAGAAACTAGACAATAAATACGCTAGACCCTAGCCTGTTACTTAAATTATCCCTAAAAGTAAAGTAGTAGAAGTCTAGCTTTCTAACTAGCTAGTAGCTAAAGGAATATTTAACGTTTTCCACCTAAATCTACTACGCTAGTACCACCCTAATTTAGTACCTTTACAGTTTTATCTAGAACTATAGCCTATCTATTTAGTCTAGAATAAAGAAACAAAAAACTTAGAAAGAAAAATTCTTTATTAATAAAATTATTAATTCTAGATAAGTTAGACGCGGTGTCTAATATAAGGTTAAATAGGTAGATAACCCTTAATACTATTAGGAACCCGCAAAAAATTGGCTAGACTACTATAACGCCTGGCTATTCTACTGGAAATACCTATATAAACCCCGCCCTTCTGCTTAAGTTCTTCCGCCTAACTAGTAACCTAGAAAGGAAGATTAAAACAATTTTTATAGTGTTAGCACTTTCTAGTAAGTTTTTTCTAAGCGTACCAGCGCTTAGAAGCTTATTTATTTAGTTTATAACCTTTTTTTTTTACTACTTTTTATAGAAGCTTAAACCTGCAAAGAAAAAAAGTAGTATTAGGTTTTAGACGGCCTTTTCCTTTATTTTATAAGTAATATTTACCTATAGTTATAAAACGTTATATAGTTACGTAATAATTAAAAGGGCGCACTAGCAGCTAGCGCCAACCGCGCTAGGAACCTACTTCTAGCAGCTGCGCCTTTAACCTTTTTTTTTTTTTTATATTATAACTTCTATAGTATAGCAATATAACCTTTTCTAATTACTGTTTGCCTATTAAGTTCTTATACTAAAGAAGTTGTTAACTGCTGTATATATAAGGGCTAAATTAACCCTACTACTAGAAAAAAAGAACTTATTTAGTATAAAATTAAGTTTATTAGCTATAATAACCTTTAATAGGATAACTATACCTATACTAAGGGATATCTATACCTTATAGCTAATTTCTACTATAAAAACCCTAATAAACTAAAACCTTACTAATTATTTAAAACGCTATTAGATTAGAAGCCTACTTTAGCCGCAATTTTTACTATAATAGATCTCCACCTAGGTTTTCCTATAATATAAAATAGTATATAGTAAGTATAAAATAAATACAGCCTTTATAAAGGGGACTTCTTTAGAAAAGGGAAATATATTATAGCTATATATTTGCTTATAATTAAGCTATACTATATACCCGATAGTTATATAATTAGGGCTCCGTAAAACAAGTTAATATTGCTCTAACCTTAGGTTTATTACAGCGTTAAACCTAGGAACTTCTTTTTTCCTTATATTTATCTTTTGTTAATATTAATACAACTTAATTTAATTCTAACTTTAAGCCCTAATACTATCTATTCCTTTTTATTATATATAATATAGTTAGCTAAAACGTCTTAATACTATACTCTAGGTTAAGCTATATCCTAATCTTATCCTAGTTATACTAGCCCTTATCTAGAAGCTACTAGAATACTACTTTTTTATCTATAATAGTAAGCTTCTATAGCCGCTTTATTTAAACTAAGGCTAGCTTTATAGGTGCGCTATATTAAACTATGTATTTTTCTATATTATATACTATTGCTATACCGGTGTAAACAACTTTAGCAATCTAATCTGGGCGCTAATTAAGCTAGAGGAGTCGCATAATATCTAGGCGCTGCGAGGCTGATATTGGATGCTGGTTTCGCTGTTAGGATCGGGCACTGCTAGAAAGGAGGATTTAACAGCAGATTAAGTTGTAGCTCTATACTAATACTAAAAATCGTTAGTATACAAGCTCTATATGCACGCGAGAAGCCTTACTAATTATTAAGTTAGGCACGTTTAAGAGGGCGTTGAAAATGGGTAGATATCTAGGTGTGATCCCACGCGCGCGCATACAACTTTAGGTGGTGTGGTGCAGGGAAAAACGCCAAGCTTTCTACGCACTTTTGAATACGACAAAAGCACTTTCCGTTCTTCGACCGACACAACACGGACCACGTACGAGCGGCGGCCCAGGGCGATCCAGCGCAGAGGGGCCTTTCACACCACCATCACCAGTCACCAACCGTCCACACACTTCAACACTTCGAATTACAAAGCTTACATACACACTGATCGTCGCACCTCCAGCAGCGAACGATTCCTGCAGCTTTGAGGACCAGAGAAGACGTCCGCTTTCGACAAGGCGACATGGCCACGTCGCATCTGCGGGGTCGCGGCTGAGATGCGCAGCCAAGCTCAGGTTGGTGTGCAGCACCTGCACTGTCTTTCAGCCTGATCGTTGGCATCGCATTTCGGTTGTATTCATTCCATCTTTACTTTTCCACTCAATGTTCGTCACTTGTCGTCTCTCCTACAGTCTGAGCTCTCAGAGGCCTAGGTTATCGTCTCACACGCTGTTCTGAGTCCAGGCCCCCGACACCTCTCGCGCCCGCTAAGCATCACCAACTACGTCTTGGCTGACCTCTCCCCCTGTGACAGAAGACGGGGAGAAACACCCCCATGTCAGACTGCGCTACAGCTTGCGCAGCTCCATAGCAGCAGTCATGTCTGGCATTTTAGCGAAAACTTCATTGCTAAAGCCTGAGATCCGCCTCGCTCAGGCTGTCTCCGAGTTCGAGGCCGACCTCTCGAACGAGCAAAAGTCAACATTTCGAACGCTGAGGTCGCAATCACGCTCGACGACACCTAGTCCACGCGATGTCATGCAGCTGACGGCCGAGGTTGACCGTCACACATCAAAGAAGTTCAGTAGTGCATGTTTCGGGCCTCGCTTTACCAGCTTCCTTCACGCAGTCCAGCAATTCGCTGCGCTTGGAGATGTCGTGGTTGGAGGATCGCAGAACCTGCTAGCGTGTGGCGTGTGGTCATTGGTGCGCATGTCGTTGTTGGTCAGCGTCTTGTTCTTGCATCATCGTCGTAGTCAGTCACTGATACACCGCAGTCGATCGTGAACCTTTCATCCTACATTGAAAAGCTATCCTCGCTATTCATGGACGTCGGCCGCTCTGCCCCGCGCTACCAAGCGATCGGCCTGCTATACCCTCGGTCTACGAAGCTACAATCACACCTCACTGAGTACTTTATCGTGGTGGTTGGCCTGTGTCGTTACCTGTTCAGGTTCGGGCAGAAGTCGACTGTCCAGCAGTTCACATCTTCTCTGAGCGATTCGCACTTGAAGGCCTTCCAGACGGACCTTGACAAGTGGGGAAACTCAATCAAGGAGCAGATTGACGTGAGTGAAGCTCAAGAGAGCTCTGGGTTTAGGGCTTTGACCAGAGAAATGTTCAAGTCTGCCTCACATCAGCAGAGACATGCAACCAACATGCGAGTCCTCGACTTCTGCTCCACATACGATCATGAGATAGCGTGGAAGCAAATCAGAAAGGCCGGCAACACATCGTTCCACACGAAACAAGCAGAGTACCGAGAGTGGAGAGATGGCTCGCACCCTTGCACACTGTTGTACACGGGCAAGCTGGGTTCGGGTAAGTCGGTGCTGCTGGCCAACATTGTGGACGACCTCAGCCTCTCCACCAAGAAAGAGCGACCCCTGGTGGCATACTTCTTCTGCAAATATGACGTTCTTGAAAGTCTGCAGGCACGGACGATCATCGGTTCACTGGCACGACAGCTACTACGCACTGTCACAGATCTTGGCGTGCCTGCTAAGAGCTGCGAGAATACTCGCACTACAGGCGACACTGAGAAAGTGCTTGAATTGCTCTTTCAGGGCTTCCCTTCTGATACGAAAGCATACTTTGTCCTTGACGGCTTAGATGAATGCGACGATGAGGAAAAAGAGACGTTGGTGCGGGCTCTCCGGAAGATCCAAGAGAAACTAAAGGTCCTGGTCTGTGCTTCTTTCCGAGAAGAGCCAAACAATGGCCTGCAGTCGATTATTAATCAACTCTTGGCCACTCGCGCTGTCTCAATACCAGACGACAACCCAGACATTGAAGCTTTCATCGAAGCAGACCTTAAGCGTTGTCTTCGCCAAGAACGTCTGACAATCGGAGATCCCACTTTGATCCTGGACATTCAAGATGCTCTCTCGAAGGGTTCGCAAGGAATGTTCCTCTGGGTAGCTCTTCAGATTCAGTCTTTGTGTAGTATGAAGACTGATCACGCTATCCGAGAAGCACTGGCAGATCTGCCTAAAGACCTCTCGTCGACGTTTGCTAGGATCTTACAGAAGTCGGGAAGATCAGATCCAGCACTCCAAGCAAAAACGCTGCAACTTGTGCTTGCGGCTTACCGGCCCCTGACAACAGACGAGTTGCGGGAAGCTCTCAGCGTTGTTCCTGGAGATGCCACTTGGGATCCTTCTAGGGTCTTGAATGATGTCTACTCAGCACTAGCTTGCTGCGGATGTCTTCTTGCTGTTGATGAGGAAGAGTTCACCGTCCGCGTCGTTCATCACAGCGTCAAGCAGTATATCCTTGATGGACTCGATGGCGTAAAGCATATGAGCTTCTCGCTTGAAGAGGCGCAAAAGACGTTGGCAGACACAGTTGTCACTTACCTCGGCTATGGTGTCTTCAGGACTGAATTATCGAGAGTTAAGGTCCACCCAATGGTGGCACAATCAGCACCATCTAAGATTGTGCAAGCCACTCAGGTTGAAATTGATGTGAACTCTGATTTCTATGGGTGTCTAGCTCGTTGTTTATATACTAGGGGAAGGAGGGGGGCCAGCCCCGGGGGCATAACGTGGTATCTCTTCCTGACGCGTTACTTGATTCATCCTGTTTCCTGATACAGTACTGATACCGTGCTGCAGCACTGCTGTTGCACTACCTGTTACTTCCTCCTGTATCAGCATGTTATCCTGATACGTTACTGCATATGAGTTGCTGACCCTAGGTTGTAGTGCTGCAACCCGAGTAAGCCACTATGGGTTCTTCAAGCACTGCTCGTCATCTTGCCATAAAGATCCTCGGATCGAGACGGCCACCTGCATTTGACATGAGCAAAGCTGTTGCAGAAGCGCGACTCTCCTTCAAGTCCAAGCCGGAGCACGCATTCAGGTTCTACACTTATGCAAAGACATATTGGCAGGACCATGTACCGTATGTATCAGGACATGACGCGGCCATTTTCAGGCTCACTTCAAAGCTAATCTATGGTCGCGCGTCCGAGCTCGACGTGGTGGATAAGCATTTCTGGACGCGTTTCCAATGCGCTGTCGAGAATGGGAACGGGAGCGTTCTTGTGCTGTTGCTCCAGGCTGGGAAGATCGACATGGATGCAAGGGACAACGATGGATTAACACCGCTGATGTTGGCGGCAC